CTCGTGCTCGGCAAGCCCTTTGCACACAGCCCACAGGCCCCTCCGACTCAGTGCATCCAAAATTCCAGGGACTCTGCCGACCCCCACAGCCCCAGCTTCTCGTGAGTTCCCCGGCTCGCAGCAGCTTTCCTGCCCTTGTCACTCAAGCGGAAGACTTCTCTCTGCTCCTGGGGATGTTGTAGGGATGCGAGATGGATGGGGGAAATGAAGAGGCCAAGGCCACTCCGCAAAGGGTTGTGGGGCAGCTGGGCCTCATAACCCCCCTCCCTGTGCTTTCTGCATAGCAGACAGTTTGGCTGGGGGGAGGCTGCCGTCTCTCCCTCGGGCTTTTGTCCCTCTGTAAGTCCAGTCTGAGCTGGGTGCCCTCCCAGCACGCACAGGGTTAAGTCAGCCTCGGAGTTGGGAGTTGGAGCCCGTGGAGTCCTTCCTGACAATAAAGCTAATGACTCCCTCCTTGCCGTTTTCTCTTGCACAATAACATTTAATCATCATTTGCACAGCAGATGAGAAGTTTGCGGCAGATGCAATTCTGCGCGAGTGGCGCTTTCTGCATGTGAGCCCCGTTCTTGCTGTCCCCAGCACACCTGACAAACTGGGGCTTGGGCAGGCTTCGCCCCAGAGGGGACGCGTGTGCCTCCACGTGCCGGGGACTTGACTCCCAACACATGTCTGAACCCGTGCGTGTCTGTCAGTGGAGTGAGGCATGTGGGCATGCCTGCAGTGACCCATGGTGGGCCTGGGCAAAGGTGCCAGAGAAGCCATGTCTGGAGGAGGTGGTTCATCTGTACAGGGGGGTGGATTTACTGTTGGTCTAGATACCTGCAGGTCAACATGCAGCTTGTATCTGCACACACAGACTCATGTGCTTTGCAATGGCCTCATGCCCTCGCATGGTGTGGGCATCGTGGTGGCTATTCCTGTGCCCGTTTTTCTGTGCATGCATATGTAGATGTGTACAGGCCCAGGGCTTTACAAGTTCAAGCACACAGGCACACTGAAAGGCACAATGTATTTCGAGTGGGAATTTCTGAGGCCACATGTAGTTTGTCCCGAGTGCATGCATACCTGAACAAGAAACTAGATTTGGTCCTTGAGAAGTTGCCCCTGGGCACACGTGCACAGACATGCAGGTGCTTTGTGTTCACTCCGTGTGGAACTCTGCTGTGTGATGGCACTTGCACACCTGCAGGCTCTGTGTGCACGGTTATGACTGCCTACATCAGCAGTGTGCACAAGGGTGTGGCTGCATCACGGGCTGATGCCCCAGAGTACCCACCGTGTGTGCAGTGGACCGTGGCTGCTCTCCCGTTGCAATGAGGGCTTGACAGGGTTACTTTTTCCAGAGACACTGCAGTCAGTGACAGAGCTGGCCTGAGAGCGCCTGCTGGCAGGAGGTAAGTGGAACTGCTGACTCGTGACCTGGGGGTGGGCAGTGATGACGGCTGGCTGGGCTGACGGATGCCGGCGCTCAGCCACCCCTGTGACAGCAGGCTGCCCGCTGCAGGAGGTGGGAGGTTAGGGCTTGACCTGTGGTGCTCAGGGCTGGCCTCCCACCTCCCTGGGCTGTGTCCACTGCCACGTGTGGACACACACATGAGCACGCACCAGCCGGAGGAGCTGCGACCAGCCTTCTCCGCTCCCTAGCCCTATCAGCATCCATCCAAACATCTCCTTTTCTCCTGCCTGAACATTGCCAGCACCTCCATTCAGTGTCTGAGTCATCCAGGGCCTGTGCAGAGCCAGAGTGGGGTACAGGTGCTTTGGACCCAGCCCATCACAGGCCCTGAGACCCAGACCTGCTAAACTGTGAACCTTGGGCTCTGCAGCTTATCCTCACAAAACAGCTACAGAAACACCTGCTAGAAATGCAACATGTCAAGTTACACAAAGTGTCAGATACAGGGAGCACATGGTCCCGCTCTGCTCTTCGAGCTGGACCCATACTGATGAGAACTGTGTACAATGCTGAGCAGAGTTCCTGGTGTGCAGCAAGTACCATGTCAGTGCGTGGTCACGGTCATTACCATCGCCATTGCTGTCCTGCACACCTTGGATTCTGAAATTCTTGGTCAATTAGACATCAATTCTTGCTCAAGACCTTGAATGCTCTTTCATTCCATGATAATGCTGGAGATTGTAATGAGCACAATAAAAGGTGAATTTTTCCCCCTTTTCCATTTCCCTAGATGCCCTGGGAAGCAGGCAGAAAGCCCCTCCTTCTCCCAGCTTCATGCTAGAGCTGGAGCTGCTCATCTGTGGGGATTTAGAACTCGGCAGGAGGGGCGAGCTGCAGGAGGAAGGGCATGCAGCCAGAGCCTACTGCCTGCTGGGCACCGAGAGTAGTTCTGGGACCCAAATCCTGAGTTCAGACTGTAGCATCTCTGTTGATCTGTTACTTGATCATGGGCAGGTAAACTTCAGTTCTTTGTGCCTCAGTTTCCTCCCCTGGGAAATGGCGGCAGAACTAGCCGATAGCCCGTGCTGTTCTGCATCCTTCCTCAGGCCTAGAGGATGTACGTGTTCTGCATGTGATGATGTAGACACAAGACAGAGGCATAGCAACTTGTCCAAAGTCATGCAGGCAGTAAGCATTAGAGCAACAGCATCTGTAGGGGAGTTTGGGGGCCTGGTGTGATGGCTAATCCTCACCCTGCAAGTGTCAGGACCCTGTATGGGCACTGGTTCATGTTCTGGTTGCTCTACTTCCCATCCACCTTCCTGCTTGTGGCCTGGGTAGGCAGTGGAGGATGGCCCAAAGTCTTGGGACCTTGCAACCACGTAGGAGAACAGGAAGAAACTCCTAGTTCCTGGCTTTGGATTGGCTCAGCTCTGGCCATTACAGCCACTTGGGGAGTGAACCAGAGGATGGAAGATCTTTCTGTCTTTCCTTCTGATCCGCTTTTCCAATCAAAAAAAAAAAAAAAAAAAAAAGGGAGTCTGGATGAAGAATGGTCTTTATTTCTGGCCAGACCTTCCACTCCATACATCGGCCATTCCCATGTGGAGTTAGGGCAAGATGTTTAAACAAAATGGGACACCATGGGTTCCTCAGGCTTGGGCCTTTCCTGTGACCTCCTTTCCAGCAAGGTCACAGGTTGTCAAAGTGACCCATGTGATGCGAGGAACAGACTAGGAGCTGGGGGACCTGTGGTGTCTTAGCTCCGGCCCCAGCAATGTGTGACCTTGTCATTTGCCCCTCTACATTGGAGATGTCAACAGCCCATCCTGGGACTACACTGTATTGCTGCCCACGAGGAGGGACAGTCCCATGCATCCCCTGTGGTCCCCAAAGTGCCATCCCCACCTGCAGCAGGAGCCATGGCTCATGGTCAGAGGTGGGAGGGATGGGAGGTCCCCAATATCTTCCCACAGCCCTGCCACTGGCCACCCTCATGGGCCTTAAAGAAGCTATGATCAAGTTCAGCTGGAAGGCAGCACCATCCTGCCCCTAGCCTTCAAGTTGTTGTCATACCCTCCCTCTGCCCAGTGTTTCTCATGCCCCTGCCTGCCTCCCTGCTGTGAGCCAGCTCCCAAGGGGCCACAAGCACTTCTCTCCCTTTCCCTTTGCCTCTGGCCTTCTGTCTGCTTCACATGTTCTCGCTTGCCCGTCCCATAATCATTCAAGACCCAGTTGGAGTTACTTCCTCCGGGAAGCCCTTGAGGAATCAGCTTTCTCCTACATTTCCAGAACCCTTGTCTGCCTTCGGTGACAGTGCTTACCAACTGCATTGGTGTGGGCTCCCCTCAAGCCTGTAGGTTTTGAGCTCCTGACAGGCAGGTACTGTTTTATAGTCTGGGTGGCCTTGGGCAGGTGCTATTCTTCGGGCCTCAGTCTGATCATCTGTGAAGCGGGGCTGACAGGTAAGGCACTCGGGCTATACTGGCCATGTCTGAATCCATCACAGTGCACCTTGGCAGGTGAGAGAATGAACGCAAGCTCATGGGGAATGTACAAGAATAAGGCTACTGAACGGGCACCGAGCACTCCCATGGGGCCAGGAAGGCACCGAGCCAGGAGCACATTACAAACCCTCATTGTCCCATTCCTCCAGCTCAGAAAACTGAGGCTTTAGCTGCTCAGCAGTCAGGAGTAGGAGCTGGGTGCTGGTGCCATCAGCAGGAAATGGATGAATCCCATGGGGTTGGAGTGGGTGGGCAATCAAGCCTGTGGCTTTGGAGTCAGGAACCCCCAGAGGGAGAAGGGAGTTTCACAGGTTTCCAGGGGGGTCTGAGCTTCCACATAAAGTCCCTTCCCAACCCCCTACAGCCTCTGCCTCCCCGCCACTAAGCACTGGAGCAGCCCAGCCCCAGCCCTCATAGAAATGTAGCCAGAGGTGCTTGCTGAAGCCATGTCCATACCCCAGGTAGGGCAGGTGCAGCAGCTGACCTGGGGCTACTTCCTGCTCCCTACAGAGCCTGGGCAGCTAGGGCCTGGGGGAGGCAGACACTCTGGTTTCCTATAGTGACAAGGACACACAGATGGTTAAGAAAGCTAACACTTATGCAACACCTGCTGTATGCTGGGTACTAGGTCCGAGGTAGCTTTCCTGATGCATCTCCCTGATGGAGGAGGGGTCCTAGAGCCATTTGCCCTGGGCCACACCCGGGCAGGTGACCTTGGCCAAGCCCCAGCCACTTCTCCATGCGGACTCCCTCGTCTGCCACTTGCCCCCATCTGGCGTTGGCCTCTCAGCTCCCTTGCGATTGAGATGGCCTCTGTCTAGAGCCCCAGCACATAGCAGGCGCTCAGTAATTGCACGGCCTTTCTCTCATCTCTCCATGCCATGCTGCGACCCCTGCCCCAAAGCCACGCAGTACCTGGTGTCGCCTCAGCTTTAATGACATTGGACGGAATTCTCGCCCTTCGGGTCTCCAGAGCTGTGCCACCCTACCCCGGAGGGGACAGGCCGGTCTGAGGGTCTACCCTTGGCCACTGCCCCTTCCCATCCGGTTGCCCAAGGAGGGTCGGGGAGGTAGGGGGCTTGGGGAAGGTGTCCAGTCCCATGGCTGGGGACGGGGCTAGGAGGCTGGGGCCTCATCGTCGGTGGCCCGGTGGCCGGCGTAGAGGGCGGCCAGGGGCCGGAACCGCGGGCCCCAGCTGCTGAGATAGGCGAAGTCCTGCTCGGAGGCGGACGAGCCGCTGTGCAGCGAGCTGAGCGAGGCAGCCGGCGAGTCCGCGCCCTCGAAGGCGTATGTCTGGAAGGCGTCGTAGGGCGGCACCGACAGGTCCCCGTCGGCCTGTGCCACCTTGCGGTTGATGAAGTCCCTGAACACCGAGAAGTCCGGCTCTGGGCTGGGTGGCTCCTGCGGCAGCGCGTGGCGCTCCGAGGGCAGCCGGGCCTGCGGGGGGCTGCCCGCACTGCCGCCCGAGCCCGCAGGCCCGCCGCCGGCGTCCCCGCCCTTGAGCTCGCCGAAGTCGTAGAGGCTACGCAGCGCAGACATGTCGTAGGCCTCCGTGTCCTGCTCGCCGCCACCTTCGTCGTTGTATTTGATGACATTGTCCCGCATGTCTTCGTCTTCATCCGAGCTTAGGTGGCTCTTGTGGTGGCGCCGGAGAGTGAGGATGAGCAGCACCAGCACTGCGTGGGAGGCAGGAGGGGGCAGGTGGGTGAGTGGGCAGAGGATGCCCGGCCCGGCCCCGCCCCACCCCACAGGTTCTGTGCACGAACTCCTTTGCAGGAAGTCAGGACGTGCGCACCCCCTGGCGGGCCAGCCAGCCTTACCCACACAGGTTGCATCGCTTCTCTCTCACCCTCTCTGTCCACTCAGTTCCTGGGTCCCTTGGTCCAAGCCTGCAGTAGCTCTCCCCACGGAGCCCTGGCACCAAGGTTCAAGGCCCTTCCCTCCAAGTTCAATTTGGGAAGGAGTTTCTCCCTGCCTTTTCCCTGCACTTTGCCTGTTCTACAATCCAAACACAAATCCTCTGGTCCTGCTTGTGTGTGTGTGTGTGTGTGTGTGTGTGTGTGTGTGTGTGTGGTGGGGGTTGGGAGAGGTCTGCTGGTGCTGCAGGGGGCTGTCCAGGGTGCCATGACAGGACCCCACCCTCACCCCACCTAAGCGGGCCCCTCACTTGCTGTCTGCAGTGTGGTTGGCACTGAAGCCCGCCTGTCGAAGGAGTGACGTGGTAAGAGTTGGAGGAAGACGTGAGGAAGCGAAGGCTGGGTGAGTATTCCCGTCAGCCACTCCCCCCACCTTGCCTCTCTTCACATCCCCAACCCCCCCAACCCCCTCCCTCCTGGCAGCCTGGGTCCGCCTCCCCCTTACAGCCAGGCTCCTCTTTGATATGGGTATCTCAGGGTGTGCCCTTGGCTCTCTGTCTACACGTCTGGGCTCAGCAGGCCAGGGATGACAGCTCTGGGCCTGGAGCAGTCCTGACATGGACATCACCCATCGAGGTCCCACCCCACATCATCTCTGGGTTGGCTCTCAGGCTGCGGGACAGCCAGCTCTCCTCCTTCCCAACCCTCAGCTGCCTCCAGTGCAGCCCCAACTTGACAATGACCCAGGGCTTGCCCACTGATGAAGAATCTTAGGGTCTGGCACAGTTGGGCCTGCGGGAGACCCCTGTGAGGCAAATGCATGTGCTTTCTGGGGGGATGGATGCACAGACAGGCGGATGGGCATCCACAGCTGGCCACTGTACCAGGCACAGGACTCCTCTTGCTGCTCCAGCTGGGCCAGCGGCCAGAGCCAGCTGCGAGGAGCCCCCAGGGCAGAGCTCCCAGCTCACCTCCTAACAAGGCGGCTCTTGATGGGGCCCGAGACAGATCTGGAGGCAGGCCACGAGGGGAGGAGGGTGTCAGGAGAGAAGTGGGGAAGATGGATGAACGGCCGGTGGAGCTGGGGGCTGGGTTGCGGGGGAGGGCGCATGTGAGAGCAGATGGTGGGGATCGTGGGCAGCGGGCGACAGATGTGCCAGGCCTGCTCAGCGATTCCGCCCGGCACCTTTAGAGCACCGAGGCGCACTCTCTCCGTTTGTGGGCAATTAGGCAGAAATTTGTTTGCGCTGCCTCGGAAAATGAAACCGCTGTAAAGTGCACCCGCTGGAAAAAGGGTTTGTGAGCCGGAGGCTGGAGCCAGGAGCCAGGGAGCCTGGGCAGGCAGCGGCCTCACCCGCGGTGGGCAGCGTGGGGTGGGGTGGGGGCAGATGCAGCTCCCAGGAGGCTGAGCGAAGCTGTGAGCTGCAGTCTGGGGTGGCATGAGTTCCACACTCTTGGCTCTGGGACTCGCACGAGGGGTTAGTGGGAAGGCAGCCCAGGGCACCAGGATGGGAGCCAGTGGGGCAGAGGCGGATGGCTGCGGGTGAACTCACCGACCAGGATGAGGACACAGACCAGGAGGGCGATGAGGGCACCGGGGCTGAGGGAGGCCGCCATGACGAAGGCAGTGGCGTTACAGGACTGGATGGCACCTGAGCTGTCACAGCCACAGATGCGAATGGTCAGAGTGCCCGTGCTGCTCAGGCTAGGTGGCCCGCTGTCTACCACCAGGATGGGCAGGAAAAACACGTCCTGTTCCTGCCGGTTGAAGGCGACCTGCTGCGTGTGCACTGCGGCCGTATTGTCTGCTCCGGAAGAAGGGGATAGAAAAGAAGGTGTGTGACCGAGGTCAAGGAACCCCATCCTAGTTACTTTCTGATTTGCCTCCCTGCAACTCCAGCTACTGCTCCCCTCCATGCATGGGTCTGGCTTGATCATCCCCAAGTTCTGTTTCCAGCCATCCCTGGCTCTATCCCCGGTCATCCAACGGTTCTACTTCCGGTCACATGGCCCACAGTGCTGAGCTCAGCTGTCCCAGGAGTGTGGTTCCGACCACCTTGAGGTTCTCTATACAGTGGTCTGAGATTTGCTCTGCAGTTGCGCCAAGGTGCTGTTCCCTGCTATATCAGTTTCTTTTTTCACCATTCAGTCAACAGCCTGGTTTTATTAGGAATCTCACCCACACAGACTGTGACCCAAGAGTCCCATGGTCCATGGGTTGTGTTTGGCTGGGCCCTGACAAGTCACAGGTCATAGAGTTGGACTTGGAACACTGGCTGGCAGCTGCCTTGGACTGCGAGTATCTTTCTGTTCTTCAAGGCCAAAGTCAGTGAGAGTCTGCAGTGGCTCAGGAGATTCTTGTTTAAGGGCTGGCAGGGCAGTGGGGTGGGGTGGGGACACTAGGTGCCAAGGGCTCCTTACTCACTTCTTCCCATTTTGTACAGATGGCCAAAAAGGATGGTGAACTAATATACATGCAGCGCTTAGGGTGCTGATGCTGGGAAAGCAGGGAACATGAGGGATTTGGGGAATACTTGGCACTCCTTTCCCACCTCTCTTGCCACCTCCATGGTGGACCTGTGGGGGCCAGGTGTCCCCTGACCCACATCATTTTGATAGCCCTTCTTGGGGTGTGCAATGGGTCTTGGGGTGTAGCCAGTGTAGCCACCCCTCATAGCCAACTCCACATAAGGTGGCCAGCCCCTTGCTGGGCATCCTTCAGCCCTGTTCCCTGCCTTGTTCGATCCCCAGGCTGCCTGCCCTGTCTGGCCTGAGCCTGGGTAGCCTGGGTCTGATCCCAGTGCCTTCCCAGCAGTCTTCTGTTCTAGACTTGCCCTTTGTGGACTTGACACAGGGCAAGGGGCCCTTGGCAGGCTGCCTTATGACCTTGTGCCCCTTTGGGAAGGGCATGGAGGTCCAGATGGGACAAGGCAGGGCGGCAAGCGCATGTGGGTTCCTGTGACTATTCTGTTTGCACTGGCACACCTTTGACAGCTCTCATTTAAAAAAAAAGAGTGCCAAGTCCATCTTCACTTAGCCTCTTTGGCCCTCAGTTTGCCCTTCTGTAAGCTGAGAAAGAGAGCCCTGTAGGAGTCAGGGTTAAGTGTATCATTGATGCAAAACCCTGCTGAGAATTCATCTCCATGCACACAGGCTGATGTCTCTTTCTGCTTTGCCCAGCTTTCCTCTGCTGCCCTGCCCACCTGCTCCCTGCCTGGGCTGCCCTGCCCTTACTCTTCAAGTCCTTGCTGCCTGGAACGTCGCCTCCTCCTCCCTGCCTGGGCCAAGTCCTCATCCGTCACGCTCCAGCTAAATGTCACCTCCTTCTCTGTGGCCTCCTTTCTCTGCCTGCCTGGGAAGGAAGAATTTATGGCCCCCCTCCCTGCTCCGACTCCTCAGGTACCTCGGGCAGCCCTGCTACGGCACTTGTCATGATGGCGTTAAGTCAGCGTGCGTTCATGTCGCCGTGGCGGCGTGGCCAGCCAGGCTTGGCACTGAGCTGGTCCTCAGGAGCAGGGCCAGAAGGAGCTCCAACTTTGGGGTCAACTGGTGGTCCTGGTTCGGCTCCTCAAGCTCTGGCTGGAACTCCAGCCCTCCTTTTAAGAGCAAGGGGCAGCCCCAGGTGAGGGAAAAAAATCTGCCTACTACTGGTGGGAGTGGGGGGGAAGCAGAGGGGCGGGGTGGAGAGAGGAGCCTGGGGCAGGGGAGTGACTGGCTCAGTCTCGGCCTCTAACTGCCAAGCTGGAGCAGGGAAGCGCATCTCCAAGGGTTGCTGTCTTTGACGGTGGTGGGGCTAGATGCTCTGAGTGCCTCCCTTTCCCTTGTCTCTTCCAGCCCCTGACAGGGAATACCCAGGCCACATCCCTGCCCATCAAGTGCCCCCTGGAACCCTGTGAGGGAGGCTGCGGCCGCCCCAGACCCCACCCCAGCCTTCAAGGCGGGACCTGAGCCCAGCCCTGCATCCATCCATCTGGCCTGACATTCATCAGTGTCAATCCCTGGCTGCAAAAGCAATATTTATAAATCACGTTTCCAAACTGGCTACAAATTTGTACAAAGAAACAGATGGGGTGGGGTAGCCATTTGTCACCTAGGATATTTATATGGTGAGGAGGAGGGGGGGGGGGCTTGGCAAGCTGAGGGAAGGGGCTGCAGGGCTGGTGGGGGAGTCCGTCCTGGTGCTCCGGCCTTGGCATGCCCCTGTGCCGGGAGCTCATACCAGCTGATCATACTGGAAGGGAGTGTGGTAGCCCCTAGCCACCAGTTGGGGTTGGAAGACTTGTGAATGCCACAAGGCAGAGGCAGGGCTATCTGTGTCTTCTGAGGCCCACGTAGGATTCCATTGGCACAATGAGTAGGCAGGGCGGCACTGGTTGTTAACATGCTGGACTATTTCCAAAAGGGCTTACACAGCCATAGCTCCAGCTAGCTCTTCCCCATCCCCACCCTCCCCCAAATTCTTCTTGCTGCCTCAGCCTTTCCTCCAAGTGTCCTCCCAACTGTAACACAACGGAGGCAGTGGGGGGGGGGGTGGTTCATGCCAGGCCCAGTGGCAGGTATGTGGGGCGTGGTTCCAGAGTCCCACCCTGCCATACAGACTGCAGCTTTTCTCATCGGTCAGCTGAGCTGCGCTGGTTGTTAAGTATTAGGATTGTGAGTCTGGGAAATGCAGATGGGTCTGTCTTCTTAAGGCCACGCTGTCTCTCTCTCTCTCTCTCCCTCTCTGGGGATCAGGGGGCTGGTAGGTGGCACCAGACTTGACCTAGGACCAGAAGTGACCCACAAGGTCCAGCCCCCAGGGCTTCTCCTACTGTGTCTCCCCCTGGTCCTGTACTTTCACACACTCCAGTCCTGCAGGTCTCCTCCCCTTGAATAGCTCAGCTTCTCCCCCAGCACAGGACCCTTGTACCTCGTACTTCTTCCTTTTATTTGTGTGGCTCATTTCCTTCCAGCCTCTATTCCCTCTGGATTCCCCGGGCCATCCCAGATCACCCTACCCAAAAAGGCTGCTATTATAAAGGCTTTGCTTTCTTGCTCACTGGTTCATGTAACATGCTACTGGTTCATGTTATTATACACCAAAAGTGTGGCAGGCACTGCTTGAGGCTTCCAGAGTGCTGCACTGAGCAAATAAAGTCCATGTCCTTGTGGAAACTGCATTATCCGTGCTGACCCAGTCACATATCATCCCAGTATGCTTTGTGTCGACTAGAAATTCCATGGTTGGGGATTTTTGTCTGATTTGCCCTTGCATTTTAGGGATCAGAGTACATCCTGACACATAACCATTGGGTCTTAATAGCTGCTCAAGAATACTTAATATTTTATACACACACACACACACACACACACACCTTGGTAGCCCTCATCTTACTGGGGCCATTTAACCACTCTGGTGAGTGATTGGGCCCATTTTAGAGATGAGAAAGCTGAGGCTTAGAGAAGAGCAGACACCTGCTAAGGCTGCATGAGAAACCACTGGCTGAGCCAGGGCTGGACTTGGGTTTGTCAATCCTGTTCCATTGACACCTGCCTCTTCTTCAGTTCATCCCTTAAGGGTTCAGATTTCATGAGGAACGTCAGAGGGTGGCACAGATGGCCAAAAAAGATGGGGGACAGGTCTCACTGTGCCTTCTGGGTGAGTGAGGGTGGATGCATGCTGTGTGACTTTGAATCCCACCCACCTCATCCCCCAACTTCCTGCAGAGCCCTGGGCTGGCAACTTTTCCCTGTAAGAGTCTCAGTTTCATCACCCACCATACGAGACCCTCTCTGGATCTGTCACCCCTCCCCTCGGCGAGCCCCTCTCTATCCCGTAAACTCACACCTTGCTGTTCTTCAGGTCTTGGGTCATGGCTCCAGCATGGTCCAGCGTCTGTGAGTGAGTTTAGACCCATCTCTGGCACTCCCTCCCTTAGCTGGAAGGAGGTAGGTTGTGCCCCTCCCTCCCTGCCTCTCAGGCTGTGACTCAGTGCAGTGTGCACCTTACCTTGGATGTCGAGCAGAGAGAAGTGAGGGTTGCTGGGAGCTTCAGGTACCAGGCGGAAGTAGAAGCGGTGCCCACCCTGGGGCTCATCCCGGTCAACCACGCTGATGGTCTGGATGAGCTGCGGGGTGAGGAGAGAGCTGATGGAGACTCCGGGCGCAGGGAGAAGGTGCCTCCTCTGCCCCCACAGCTCCAGGCCCTCAGTGGTACCTGGCCGGGCTTGGCATCTTCACACACAGCAGCCTCGTAGGGCGTGGCCAGCTCAGGGGGATTGTCATTCACGTCCAGGATTCGGATCCTCAGGGATGCCCGGGAGAGCTGGGCGTGGTTATCTGCAGGAAGAGCATAGCAGACTGTGACTGGCCTAAGTGGGCAAGTCGCCACTGGCTATACCTCTACATTGACCTTTGACCATGGACATGCCAGCATCATCACTGCTATCCCCTCCATCAGCATCTTTATCTCTCTGATCCCACCTTCAGCAGCACCCCCGTTAGCACTGTCCTCACTGCCTCTACCAAGGTAACCATTGCTACCACCGCTGCCACTTTAGCTGGCGTCTGTCCCATCACTGCTCTCATCCTCAGCCCATCACCATCACTGTTATCACCAGTCTAGGCAACACCAGCAGCGGCTCCTTCTTAATACTGACATATCCCCCGTATCCCCTACAGTGCCCCAATAGCCCTGCTGTGCCTACCGTTACACCTCCACAATCTCCAGGACCCTGTTTCATCACCCCATGCCTGGCACTGTCACCACTTCTGCCAGCTCCACCCTATGACCATGCTCTATAGAGAACAGTAGGAGCTTCCATATCCATCAGAAATCCAATTTACATTCCCTCATGGCAGAGGGGAAACTAGGGCATGGGTGAGCTGACAGTAGCTCAGCTGGGACCTGCACTGTGGCACAGTAAGATAAGCAACCTCCTGCAGCAGCAGCACCCCATACTGGAGTGCTGGTTCGAGTCCTGGTTGGTCCACTTTTGATTCACTTCCTGGGAAAGTAGCAGAACGTGGCCCCAAATGCTCGGGCTCCTGCCACCTGTGTGGGACACCCAGATGAAGTTCTTGGCTCTTGGTTTTGGTCTGGCTCAGCCAATTTGGGGGAGTGAACAACAAATGGAAGATTCTCTCTTGTGCTAGTTCTCTGTGGGTCTGACTTTCAAATAAATAGAAATCTTGACGAAAGAGAAGTGGTCATCTCTCATTGCTCTCAAATGTCTACACTCAATAGGATCTCAAACGAGCCAGATCAGCCTGGGAAATGTACACTGCGGCCAGCAAAACTACGAAGCCTCCAGCACTCAGCTGGGGCGTGTCTGAGGTCAGGAACTGTGGGGTGCAGCAGAGGAGACTCTAATACCCTCACTGAATGATGAATGAAGCCGGGAGGACGGAAACTGAAGGGTGCTTGAATCATCCCAGGCATGGCTGTACCCCCCTATGCCTCTCCCAGCTTCTGACCTTGTATGACTTTGCCCTGACCCTGTCCTTTTTGATGTCAGCTCCCCTGCCTGGAAGATAAACAGAGCAGCGGCTGCGAGCCAGGACCCTGGAGTCCAGCGGACAGGTTCTGATCCCAACTCTGGCGCTTAGCAGCTGTGTGATCCTGGTCAGGTTGCTTGACCTCTCTGTACTTGCATTGCCTTCCCTGAATAGCAGGTGTAACAGTAACGGGTCAGTTAGGAGGTAAACTGGATTGACGAGTGTAGAGTGCTTACAGCCGCCTACAACCCTGGGGATTTGTTAGAGACCTCCCCAAAGGTCCTTCTAGGCAAGACACAAAATGATATGAGGGTGTGCACCGGCTGTCCCAGCCTGTCCACTCTGAGAGGTGCCCCTTCCTGTCCTGGTCTACTCCAGCTCTCTGATCCCCTGGGAATGAAAGTTACTCCCCACTTCCAAGCAGCGCCTTGGATGATGGTGAGCAGGGAGCTTCCAGCAGCCAGGCTCCCCTGCGAGTTTGGGGGAGGCAGGGAGGGATGGTCGGCAGCCTCTGCCTGTGAACTTTGGGGCCCGCTGGATGCTGCTAGCAGCTGTTCCTGTGTTGATAAAGAGAGAAGTGGAGATTGCTAGGCAGGTGCGGCTACCTCCTTGGGGGTCAGGGAGAGGAGGGGGAGGGAGTCCCTAATCAACTCAGGCACCCCCCACTGTGGAGTTCCCCTTCGCCAAGGGCACCTAATCTTCTCGGCTCACCCCAATCTGTCTGCCGTTCCAGTGATTAGAGGGGGCTTCTCTGGGGGCGAGAGCTGGGGAGTCGTGACTGGGAATGCCGGTGAGCCGTTATTTTTAAGAGCAGTGCTGCTGGAGAACTTCAACACCCAGACGGTGGCGGGTGCCGGCTGCAGGCTGCGTGGAGGGAAAGGCAGGGCCCGCAGCCAGGAATGGTGCCTGGGTGGGTAGGGGTGGGCAGCCGGGGCCTCAGTGCCCTTGCTGGGTGCCCTCTCCTGCAGTGGCTGCATGGGGAAGACACTAGATCCTAGAGAAGAGAGATGCAGAGCAGGCCGGGCTGCTGGTAGACCTGCTGAATACGCCCTCACACACCCTGCCCCTGAGATCCCATGACAGCAGCATGGCCCGGCCTCTCCTCTTGCAGAAGTTCACAAAAATGGCCTCCCCAGAAAGCCTTGGCCTCTGGCCTGGGTGAGGGCCTCGCCTCTCAGAGGCCAGGCTGGGGAGCCAGTATGGGAAAGGGGTACCTCCAAGTTGCCACCTGCAGAGCTTATCCTAAGGCCCCCTTTTGTGACTGGGCTGGAATCCTGGAACTTAGCCCCTCTTCCTCCAAGGTCGGGGTCCAGCGCCCTTGACCCTGCAGCAGCACCTGTAGTCAGAGTCACTGGGGGAGCCTTTAAAGCATCCCATACCCACAGCTCTCCAGGGGAATCTGCTGAGGGTCAAGTTTGCAGACCAGCACTCCCCGGGGGGCGGGAGGGGGAGGCAGGAAACAGGGCAAGGTGAGGCCCACCCTGCAGTGACCCCCTCTGAGTCACCTCCTCCAGGCTACTGCTGATCACAATTAGTATCATCGATAATAATGCTGGGTTTTTATCACCGGAAGTGTTTCCGGTATAAAATAATGACTCCATCAGCTGATTAATCTTGATCTTGGTGCAGGATTTTCCAATTTATCACCCTTTTCTTAACTATGACCTCACTGGATCCTCAAACAACCCGGGAGGCAAGAGTGTCAGAGCAGTGGTGAAGTTGCTGCTCCCCCACCCGCAGGCCTGGGCTTGAGGCCCGGCTCGGCTTCCGGTCCAATGTCTGACTCACGCATACCTTGGAGGTAGCAGGGACAGCCAAGTGGCACCCATGTTTGAAACCCAGACAGAGTCCCAAGCTGCTGGCTTTGGCATGGCCCAGACCTGGCATTGCTGGCATTTAGGGAATGACCTGGTAAGTGGAAAATCTCTCTCTTTGCTTTTCAAATAAAATGAAAATAGATAAGTAAAATTAAAAAAAAAAATTAAGTGTAGGAAATATTGATAAACCCATTTTGTAGATGAGCAAACTGAGGTCCAGAGAGGAGTAGGACTTTCCACAAAGCTGTAGGTGAGTTTGTGGCCAAGCAGGGATTGGGTCCTAGATCTTTGCATCCCAAGGCAAGTGTGCAGCGCAGCCCAAATGTCTGCTGCCTGGGAGTTTATTGGACCAATGGAAGCTACTGTACAGCCCCGGCCCAAGCTGACCTCACCCAGTGTCCCTCCAGGGCCTGGGTCCCCTGTGGCCCTCCCCATTTTGGCATCTCAGTTCAGCTGACTGACATGCAAATTAGTTTAATTATTTCTTCTTCTAAAATAAATTATATTTTGCAGTAGCTGCAATATGTTGTGTCAGGCAAAATTACATTCAATATTTTTAAACTAATTGATGCAGCCTTGAGGAAGGCTGATTGACAGCCGGGAGCTGAGCAGGCCTGCAGTCTCCACCGATTCTAAATGAAAATTCAGCGTGCTCCGGCCCGCTGCTTCCTCCAGGGTTGCTTCGCCATTAATCCAGGCAGGTGGCAGGAGAAGCCCCGGAGAGGCTGCAGGGGCCGAAGCAGGAGGCAGGGCAGCCCAGGGAGACCAGCCTCGGGGCAAGAGAACTGTCAGGCAGCTCTGGGGCCCTCGCTGGGCTGCGCGAGTTGGCACTGATGACTTGGGGATTTTCACTGACAGCCAGGGATTGGGAACCCACTGTGGACCAATGATACGGCAATGAACAGGACCAACGTGGTCTCCAGGACTGGAGGACAGAGACAAACATGACTCTAGACTGTAAGAAGAGTTGACAGGAGCTGGGAGTCCTGTGGGGGAGTGCAGGACAGAGGTTATGACATTTCTGCTGAATTCTGATGAGGAAGCGGCGAGGGGAAGGGTTTGGGGAGGGAGGGACCATCCTAAGGGGGCAGGATTAGCATGTGCAAAGGCCCTGGGGTGGGTATTGTAGAGCTCCCTGGTGGGAGGCTATAAAAATCACACCACATCTCCTTTGAGTTGCTCACTGAGCATCTGGACCAAATCGAGGCTGGAGGCCTTCCGAAAGGAAGTGGAGACATGGGCTGACTTGGTGATCTGGCCAGGAATGCGCTTGTTCCGGAAGGATGGCAGTGTGCATGCCCTAAGTACCCCACCTTGCCCAGGGTCACACCATTTCACCCTGTTGGCCCCTGAAGGAGGAAGGCGCTACAGTGGCAGCTGGTGGACTATTCAGGAAATGGGCTCAGAGAGGTGCAGCAACTTGCCATGGTCTCTCTGCAGGCAATCCATGAAGCCCATGCCGGGACCTCTGTGGAAAGAGGGAGCTTGTAGCCAGTCCCAGGCACTGCCTTCCTCAGCATGCTTAGTTGTCAGATTCCTGTTGCATTCAAGTCCTCGAACAAACGTTGCTGTCTCCTCCAGTAAGTTACCTCAATTACACAAAATCAAGACAGTCAGAGGATAAACCCAACTCCTACACGTCCATAGGCTCCAATGGGTCACCCTGCCATTCCCCGGCTGGCCGTGTCCTTCATTCGACAGAGACTCTCTTTTTCTGTCTTTGAGATGCAAAGGTGGGGAGAGGGCAGAGGAAAGAGCAGGGAGGGAGAGAGAGAGAATCTACCATCTGTTGATTCACTCTCTGAATGTCTACAGCAGCCAGGTCTGGGTCACACGAAAGCCAGGAGCCTGGAACTCCATCCGGGCCTCTTGTGCTGGTGGCAGAGACCCAAGGCGCTGAGCCATCATCTGCTGCCTCCTGGGATGTGCACTAGCAGGACACTGGATGAGAAGTAGAGCTGGGGCTTAAAGCAGGCCCTTGGATGTGGGATGAGAGCATACCGAAGCAGCATCTTTACGGCTGTA